AGATGATTTTTTACAGAATCGTGTGTCACAGATTAAATCACCTGTGATTTAATCTGTGACTCACTGATTGTGTAAATAAATCTCTGTCTTACTTCACGTTCATTTGTCGTACAACTCGAAAGTTGTACTATATAAGGACGAATGACAGAACACTGTCTCTCATCCTTTTCTCCTTCTACTCCTAGTAGAAGTGTTGGCTTTCTAATAAACTACCTATCCACAACCATCGTCATGGACCAAGGAGGCGACCATGAACAAGCACCAAACGCGGATGCTCTTCGCCCACGCTTCGATCTCAGAGAAGCAGCCGAGACAATTCGGTTGCAGATTGAAGAGCGTGGCTACGCAGTGCCTGGGATATGCCGTAACTCTCTTTTTGGACTCCGGCTCGAGATAACCGGAGTCTCCACATCTGAACATATCAATAATCTATATTAGTGCCCCGCCGTAGCGAACGGAGAGTGGAGAACAGGAGTATCCGTGAATACATGCACAGCAGTGTGGTGTCAAGATAACGTGTCGTACCCAAGAGGACTATCGGAATCACCAGTTGCTACTCCCATTTAGTATAGGGGCCAGAAAGCCGAGGTGCGGGAAGAAGTTGACAATATCTTAAATTGGGCCAATTATATGGCCCACGGAATCAAGCGAATCCATTTCGGTGGTCTATCTCCCGGACACTGAGAAGAAGCCTATCTAGGGCTTCTGTTAGCTGTGATTAAGGACCTAGGCCAAGTAGTGGAACTTAAACAGCTAAGACGGGTGGAGGGCAAAGCCTTTGCTGCATTGGTAAAACAGCAGGCGAAGCCAACTCATCACAACAAGTCAGAAATTCAGAAATACGTGCGGCAGAACAAAAAGAAGCAGTTCGAGATCAACCTCCATAAATTCAAATACAAAAAGAAGGAGGAGGACGAAGCTGACAGGTAAGAAGGCCGCGCCAGCTTCGCTTTATCAACGTGTTCGAAGTAATATTGCAAAATGGAGGGAGCACGGCGCGACCAAGGAGGTACTCCAGACGATCAAATACGGCGTTCGGCCAGTATGGGGTCCGAAGGGTCCTCCACCAGCATCACAGAAGGGCAGGTGGATAACTATTCCAGAAATCACGGATCCAATGATCATCACGGAGCTATCACGACTGGAGGGAGAAGGGGTTATCCGACGCTGCCAGGAATCGGAGGCATACCTAATACACTCCGCATTCATGATTCTCAAAGAAGATGGGATCCGTTCTCGGCTCCTACTCAATCCAGCAGAGATCAACGACCGTGCCGAGAAGAAAGCGTTCCGGGCGGAAGGTCTAGAGAGACTGGCTCAGGTTGCTCGCCAGGGAGTTGTAGCTATGTCCGCGGACATTCGAGATGGAATCTATGCATTAGCTGTTGCATACCCCCACCTATGGCAGTTTCGAGACCACATGGGTCAAATATGGTGCTTTCTCGCCCTTCCAATGGGTGCCACGTTTCTCCCAGCATACTTTAATCAACTAATGTGTAAACTTCGA